CGCTGCACGTGCCAATGCGCCGATGTAACCTGCCATATAAGCGGTCACACGCGGCACGCTGACTGCGCGCATGTAACTGACATATAAGGGTCACACGCTGCACGCGCCAATTCGCGCATGTAACCTGCATATAAGGTTCATTACGCTTGCACGCTGCCACGGCGCATGTAACCTGCATATTAACGCCGGTCACACGCCTGCACGCGCACGCCGCATGCTACCTGCATATAAGCCGGTCACACGCTGCACGTGCCACGCGCATATAACCTGCATATTAAGGGTCACACGCCTGCACGGTGCTGCGCAATATACCATGCATCATAAGGGTCAAATGACTGCCGTGCACGCGCATGTAACCTGCATTATAAGGGTCACACCGCTGCACGCCGCCACTGCGACATGTAACTGCCTATAAGGGTCACCACGCTCGCACGATGCCACGCGCATGTAACCTGCATTATATAGGTCACACGGGCACGTGCTGCGACCGCATGTAACCTGCATATAAGCGGTACACGCCGGCCACTCGTGCCACGCCCGCATGTAACCTGCAATATAAGGTCGCACGCTTCCACGTGACCACGCGCATGTACCTGCCTATAATGCGCGTACGCACGCTGCACGCGCCTGCACATATAACCTGCATATAAGGCGATCGCACGCTTGCTACGTGCCACGCGCATGTAACCTGATAGTAAGGGCTATCACACATGCTGCCCACGTGCTGCGCCGCATGTAACCTTGGCATCAAAGCGGTCACACGCTGCACGCGCCCGCGCATAGTAACCTGCCATTATAAGGCGTCCACGCCTGCACACGACTGCGCGCATGTACCTAGCATTATAAGAGGTCGCACGCTTGCACGTGCCACGCGCAATGTAACTGCCACTATAAGGGTCACACGCTGCACGCGCCAGCGCCATGTAACCTGCCATTCTTAAGGTCGCACGCTGCACGGCATGCACATATACCTGCATAATAAGGGTCACACGACTGCACGTGCTGACCGCCAACTATACCTGCCATATAAGTGCGTCACACGCTGCACGCTGCCACGTGCATGTAACCGCATATAAGGTTCACACGCTGCACGCCGCCACGCGCCATGTAAACCTATATCAGGGTCACACGCTTGCACGTGCACGCAACTTAACCATGACATATAAGGGTCACACGCTGCACGTGCTGCGGAATATAACCTGCTATAAGGGTCACACGCTGCACAGCCGCACGCGCATGTACCTGCCTATAAGGGTCGCACGGCTGCACGTGCCACGCCGCATGTAACCTGCATATAAGGGTCACACGCCTGCACGCTGCATGCGCATGCTAACCTGCCCTCATAGGTGTCACACCGTTGCACGTGCCACGCCGCATCGTAACCTGCAATATAAGGGTCGCACGCTGCACGCGCCAGCCGCATGTAACTGGCCTATAAGGGTCACACTGTGGCACGTGACCACGCGATGTAACCTAGCAATATAAGGCGTCACACGCTGCCGTGCCACGGCTATAACCTGCATATAAGGCGTCAATACCGCTGCGTGCCCACGCGATGCTAACCTGCCATATTAAGGGTCGCACGCTAGCACGCGCAACTGCGCATGTACCTGCATTATAGGGTCGCCACGCTGCACGCGCCGATGCAACATATAACCCGCATATAAGGCGTCACACGCTGCACGCGCAATCGCATATAACCTGCATATAAGGGTCACACGCTGCACGTGCACGCGCATGTAACCTGCATATAAGGGTCACACGCTGCACGTGCTGCGCGCATGTTAACCTGCATATAGGCGTCACACGGCGGCCAGCGTGCCATGCCATCATATGAACCTGCATATATGAGGGTCACACGCCTGCACGCTGACGCACATGCTAACCTGCACTATAAGGTCACAGCCGGCACAGTGCTGCGCGCAGGCTAACCTGCATATAAGGGTCGCACACTGCCCATGTGCCGATGCGGCAATATAACCTGCATATAAGGGTCGCACGCTGCCACGCGCACGCCGCATGTAACCTGCATATACAGGCGTCACACGCCTGCACCGCAGCACAGCGCATGTACCTGCATATACTAGGGTCGCACGCATGCCACGCGCCTGCGCATTATAACCCGACATATTAAGGGTCACACGGCTGCACGTGCTGCGCGCATGCTACACTGCATATAAGGGATCACGACGCCGGTACGCTGGCCGGCATTGTAACCTGCTATAACGGGTCACACCTGCTACGATGGCACGCCGCCATGTTTAACCTGCATAGAAGGGTCACACGCTGTACGTGCAACGCGCATGTAACCGCATATAAGGGCACACGCCTGCACGTGCCACGCACATATACCTGAATATAAGGCGTCCACGCTGACCTGCACGCTGCAACGCGCACGTAACCTGCATATAAGGGTCATACGCCTGCACGGTGCCACGCGCATGTAACTGCAATAAGGGTCGCGACGCTGCACGGTGCTGCGCGCATGTAACCCGCATATAGGCGTCACCACGCTGCAGTGCAGACGCGCATGTAACCTGCTATAAGGTCGCACGCTGCACAGCGCGACGCGCACTGGTAACCTGCATATTAAGCCAGGTCAGCTTACGCTGCACGCGCGCCGGCGGACGCGGCATGTAACCTGCCCAGTATAAGGGTACACACGCTGCCGTGCCACGCGCATGTAACCTGGATGATACAGGGTCGACCGGCTGCACGGCTGTGGCGTCGGGCGCGCATGTAGTGTGCGGTGTCTAAGGGCTGTGGTCGTCACGCTGCACGCGCTCCCGGACGCGATGTACCTGCATTAGGGGTGCGTGCCCGCGCTGCACGCGCACATGCCCGCAACGGTGCGTGGTGTGTACCCCGCACCGTATAAGGGCTCGCACCGCTGCACGACTGCCGATGCCAGCTATAACCCGCGCATTATAAGGGTCACACGTGCAGTGCCACGCCACATGTCGAACTTGGCAGTATAAGGGGTCACACGTCTGCACGTGCCACGACTGCATGTTAACCTGATATAACGGTCGCACGACTGCACGTGCACGCTGCATGTTTAACCTGCATATAAGGGTCCAACGCTGCACGGTGCACGCTGCATGTTTAGCCTGCCATATAAGCGGTCACACGCTGCACGTGCCATGCACATATAACTGCCATATAAGCGGTCAATCCGCATGCACACGTGCTGCGCGCATAATAACCCGCATATAAGGGTCAACCGCTTGCACGCTGCCACGCACATATAACCTGCTTAAAGGTCAACACGCTGCACGTAGCCCTCGCGCCAATGCTAACCGGCATAAATAGAGCGGTCACACGCTGCAGCGTCCTGCGGCAATGTAAACGCATGCATATAAGAGGGTCACACGCTGCACGTGCCACGCCGCCATGTAACCCTGCCATAGTAAGGGTCGCCACGGCGTGCCACGTGCCCGACGCACAGTACAACCTGCATATAAGGGTATAGCGCTGCACGCGCCATGCCGGGCATTAACCTGCATAGAGGGTCACCCGCTGCCCCGTGCTCCCCGCGCATGATATATCACTTGCTAGATAAGCGGTCACACGTGCAGCGCCACATGACGGATGTAACCTGCAACCTGCATATAAGGGTCACACGCTGCACATGTAACCTGCATATAAGGGTCACACGCTGCACGTGCCACGCGCATGTAACCTGCATATAAGGGTCACACGCTGCACGTGCCATGCACATATAACCCGCATATAAGGGTCACACGCTGCACACGTGTGAAGTACTTGAACATGTAGAATGAACAGCGTTCTATAAATACCAGGAGTCGATAATAGGGAATCTTCCCTATTATCTACTCCTGATAAATATGCAATGTTAATTTCTTGCGTTGTGGAATATTAGGAGGTCATCATTTGTAATCTCGCAAATTGTAAAAAAATATGCTTATATTCGTTTTTATTTTCTAGTTCTATTGAATCAGCTCATCAGACAATCCCAGGAGATCGATTCACTCGTGAATCAAGTCGTTACAATGGATATGGAACTGGACTGGCTTAACATAGCATTAGAGGATGTGCTGCCACCTGCTGACTGCTTAGAGAACCCCACTTCACAACCTGTGTAGCTGGTGTCTGTGTCCGGCAATAGACCCTGCAACAAAACTATGCAATAAACTGCACCAATCCGCACGGTCGTTTCTTGTCACGTGACAGCTCCATGACATCCCGTTTTAGCTCTGTAAATGTAGTCCTTCCGATCAGGCAGTCGGGCCCGTTGTCAGAAACGAAATTAGCATTAACATTAGCATCAACTTCACACTGTTTCTGGCAATGGCCCCCAAATGCCATGTTTCTACATTCGACCCCAGAAACTAAGAGTTGTCTGCAATTGTTGCAGGACCCTCAGCAGAAGTCCTAGCTGGCTTCACATATTAACCTCTGTATAGCACATTCAGTTATATAATGGAAGAAAGAGTTAAGTGTTGTGTGTATTTATTATCAATTATTATATCTTATAATATATAATAATTGGTAATATGTATGTATGTATGTATGTATGCATGCATGCATGCATGCATGCATGTATGTATGTATGTATGTATGTATGTATGTATGTATGTATGTATGTATGTATGTATGTATGTATGTATGTATGTATGTATGTATGTATGTATATATATATATTATATATATATATATATATATATATATATATATATATATATTATATATATAATATATATAT